GCTGGGGGATTGTGGAAACTACTGGAAGACTAGCTGCATTTGAGTGGCGGTAGCCTGTATCCGCACTTCAAAGTGGTCATGTTAGCATCTGACAATTTGTGTTCATTTGGGTTTTAACCTATACTCCCTGTTGTACCTGCCAACTCAAGTTAATGGCAGCACTATACTTGAGTGAAGGATTTTTTGTGTGTGGATTGGGGTCAAATTAGGGACAACACTCAAGCTTCAGCAGGAATTAACTTTGCATCTCTTAAGATGAGAAAGTAATTAAGTTTCTGTGCCTCTTCACTCTTTGGCAACTATGCTATGGCCTTAATTAAAAGTTAGGTCAACATAGCTGGCTCTCAGGGGTGAGAAAAATTCACACCCTTGAAAGCCATAGCTATGTCAACCTAACCTCTGATATAAACGCAGCTAGGAAGAATTCTTCTGTGAACCTAGTGACTGCCTCTTAGGGAGGTGGATTACGTACAGCAACAGAAAAGAAAATCTATATAGCAGCAGTACCATAGCTATGCTACTATAGCACTCACTGTGTAGACATGGCCTAAGAATGGTAGTTGTGTGCTCTCTTTATTTTATGAGGAATCTGTCTGTCAGGGACTAAATAGGTGACCTTCAACATAATGAACACCTGTTAAATGGTGATGGGCTTGATCATTTTTTCTATTCTTCTATGCACAGAGGAAAGCTAGATCAGGTGCTTCTGAGATAAGAAGGCAGGGAGGAGCTGTGCTAGCTCTGGCATTCTTTCCCTTTCTCCTTTTCATTCCCATGGAAGACTCTCCAGAGTTGCACTGGGTATGTCAAAACTAGGCAGCCCTTTGCTTCCCCCACCCCTTTTTTTAACCATGAGTTAATTGCTAAATCATTTGTTACAAAATTCAGGCTACAAGTGATCCGTAGGATGAAGAAAAAACACTTAGAGCCTCGGTCAGATGTGTGTGGGGTGTCCACACTAGCCTTTAGAAATTTGTGAAGTACCTCAAGTTAAGTGGCAATGTCTATCTTGTCTACACAATAAAATTATACTGGTATAAGCTAAGGAAAGGTGTAAATTTAAACTGAGGGTATGTTTACACTGGCAAGTTTCTGCACCACAAGTTATACCACTTTTATTAAAACGCTGGAACTAAACCGCTGTCCATGTTGTGCTCCTTGTGATGCTGGAGCACATGCACTGCTGTCTTTGCCGATTGAGGTAGCTATCCCACTGTGCAACTGGCCACAGGGTGCTTTGGGAAGGGTTTGCAGGCACAGGGTCCCATGATGCAGGTTTCCCAATCTCATTGTTCCATGGGCATCCTGCTACATTGCCAGCTGCTTTTCAACTGAAGTGTGGGAGGGGAAAGAGTGTGTGTATGAACTGGGGGGGACAGTGTGTTTTGGGGGACAGAGTCAGCATGCTGTCTTGTAAGTTCAGACAGCGGCAGGAAGCAACCAGTCCTGAGGTGTGGGAGGGTTACGTAAGGGATAGCTCAGTGGTTTGAGCATTGGTCTGCTAAACCCAGGGTTGTGAGTTCAATCCTTGAGGGGGCCACTTAGGGATCTGGGGCAAAATTAGTACTTGGTCCTGCTTGTGAAGGCAGGGGGCTGGACTCGATGACCTTTCAAGGTCCCTTCCAGTTCTAGGAGATAGGATGTCTCCATTTATTAATTTATTTATTTATTTAATTTTACATGCCTCTTGTGTTCAACAGCAGGAGCATTCCACATTAATGGTTTGCTTTGTGTCCCGGAGCAGATTGGCACAGGACACAAGGGCTGTCAGAAGCAGTGCTTTGAAAGGGGAGGGGCGCATGTCTCCAGGGCAGCGGAGTTTAAAACAATGAGCAGAGCAGTCACTTGAGGCATTATGGGACAGCTCAGGAGGCCAGTTACAGTGCAGAAAGCAGTCAAGTGTCTACACTGGCAGTAGTGCGCTGGAGCCTCTGCGCAAATAGCTTTACAACTCTGAGGTGGTGATTGGGTTTTTTTTTTTGGCAGTGCTGCAACTGAGAATTTTCTTCACACAAAGTGGCTTGGCAGTGTGTACACTTTTTCAGTTTGAGTGCAAAAATCTGCTTTACTGCGCAGAAACTTGCCAGTGTAGATAAGCCCTTATAGAGTTATACTAGTATAACTCTATGTGTGGACTCTCTGGAGCAAAAGCGGCTTTTTGGGTTTAGCTAATGTCACTTTGTAAGTGGTTTAAACCAAACAGAAAAAGCTTTCAGAATAAGTGTGTCCATGCAGTGAGTTATACCATTATAACTATACTGGTTTAACTATTGGTTTGAATTATACCAGTTTAACTGGTAAACTTTCCCCAAAAGAGAAGCCCTAATTCAAGGCAATAAAGTCTAGTGAAGTCAAATACATTGTAGGCAAACATCTACTTTAGCCCTGTGAGAATAGTGTACCAAAGATGATGATGACCCACTCAGCAGTGTCTTGTGGTGATGGCTCCACTTTATACTGGAACACCTCACAAATAGGGTTTTGGAAAGTGCTTGATGACCAGAGGAGGGGGAGCTGCCATAGCTTCACAGGGATCCGTGCTGCCATGGGATGGAGGCCAGGTCTGGTCTGGTCTAAGAGTTGTGGCTGGTACTGTGTCCCTCCTGGGACATCTATTTGTGGGCCAAACAATCAACCTGTTTTACTGAGAGAGACATCATGTTGGTTTGCCCCAAGTAATTACAAAGGAGAAATGCTATAAGATGCCTCAACTTCCTGGTATGGATTTTCCCCATGTTGAGTTTTGGTCACTATTAATTCAGAGATGAGATTTTATATGGTATTACCAACCTCTTGATCTAGTCAGTTCCCTAAATTTTAGTATGTAGTTACACTGCAAAATTACTTAATTTCTTTGCATAAGTTTCTCTGTTTGCCTACCATTAGAAGGCCTGTTTCTTTTTCCTGGTCTTCAAAGTTGCAATTTCTTAATATATATCTCCACATCATAAATAATTTAATTATCACCACAGCGCGCATTCCCCCCCGCCCCAGCAAAACTAGGCATTGCCTCCTTATAAAGTAGCTAGCATTTTTGTAAATGGATGTCAGTGGAGTTGAGCTTGATCCCAGGTAGGGCTGGATGTGGCCCTCTTCAAAATTTTGTCTTCATTGTAACAAGAAACCTTTGCAAGGATTATTTTTTCCTTGAATCTGTCCAGTAAATTCAAAGGATCCCTCTACTCTTTGGAGTTCACTGTTTGCTAATAGGAGTGGCAAGGATGAGTAATTATGATGGAAAAAAATTAAGTGGTACTCTTTGAAGCTTATCTGTATGAATACTTAGCAACAAGCTGGGATGTAAATTTATCTTGAACTGCCTCATACTATCAAGTTTCTAGTGCACTTTAACCTGCCAGCACACTAGGGAACTTGTAGAGTGCAGTAGCAGGATCCACATGGGCACTTAGGGCTTGGCACAGCTGGCTAGTGTGAGGTATATTTACACTGCAGACTGCCATGAATTTGATGTTTGTATAGACAAGTCCTGAATAAAAATAACCAGTCTAGTATCATCTTGTAGTAACTTAATGACTAACTTGTTAAAACATATATTTTACAATATGTAAACTTTTAGTTCTAAAAGGCTTGCCTCTTCACAGGTGGATTGATTTAAATCAAAGCAATTTTAATCATCATTTAAATTATTAGTTTTAATCATATTTTGCATTTGTACTTTTTTTAGTTATTTTCCTAAAGAAAGGTTGGTTCTCTTGGTAACCATGAAAACATGTTGAGTTGAAGTTAAATATAACCTTTGTGCTAAATATGGTGTTTCTTTCTGCAAATCAGGATGAAACATGATATTTGTACACATTTATTTAAGTCGTTATACAGTTGATTTCATGGATTCAGATTCTTAATTTTTTTTGTTAGAAAACAATAAATAATGCATTTCTAATTTACTAGATTAATTTTTTACTTGTGCTTTGTGTCAAGCACTATTTGAATGCAATTAAAATGCAAAAAAAGGAATCTTAAAGTTGTTTAAAATTAGCTAAATTAAAATACCTTAAATGTGCTGGATCCATCTAAAAAAAAGATTTATTAATCATTTTTAAATGAAAAACATGGTTTAACACAGGACGTCTTATCTGTAGTTAATGAATTGAGCTGATTGTTTCTTGCCACTTGTGCTTTGAGGTTTTAGAACTAGTAGCTCACATTCTCTCATACCTAGTTTTTTATTCATAAAGGAAAACCAGCTTTCCAGGTTTCTCAACTTATTAGTTTTCAACTTTGAATGAACTAATTAAATAAACTGAAATGAAGAAAATATTCTCTTTGAACCTGCAGAAGAAGGGCTGTTGCTGTCAAAAGCTGGTTTAGCACTTCAGTGGACAGGGGCTTCTGCTAGTTCAGTGATTTAATTGTCTTTAAAACTTTAGCAATAAACATATACTGCTTTTTCCCCCCCCAAATTAAAATTATTTTAATAGAGTGAGTGAGTTTAAGCCATAACAAAGGTTCCTATAATTGCAAATTTAATTTTAAATACTTTTTTTTAAATCTATTTAAGTCCGATTTTTATAAAAATCACTTTTATCCACCTTGTTTCTTTGGTTTAAAGTTATAAATTTGGAACGTGTGGAATTATTTCCCAAATTGTGTTAAATGTTCTCTGAAACAAAAATATGAATGTAATCTCATATTTGTGTGTGTATTTTTATAAATATGGAAAGGTTTTTTTTTAATTTCCATATTGTAAATAAGTTGTTTACTATAATGTATAATTAATCTTTACAACTGCCTCCAGGTTATTTCTGTTGAGAGGAGGACTACTAAGTCTTCTTTCATGTAAATATTCTGAATGTTTAAGAGTAATAAGATTTGATCAAATTATGTTTTGGGTGCTAGGACATGAAAGAGACTGTCAAGGCTGATTCCCCACTCTAGCACTTTGAGTGCAGAAAGTGGGGGCCTGCAAGGATTCTAAAAATTAATACTGGCCACTCCAGGCTGGTATTAAACTCCCATAGTTAGAGCTTTTCTCCGACCTTGGATGGGTAGATGCTGCCACCATCCAAGTGCAACCCCCTCCCCCCCCTTCTGACCTAGGAAGGCGCACTTTGGAATTCGTACCCTGTGAGGTACCCTCAAGCCCTTTTCTTTCCCCTTCCCCCCCCCCCCCGGAGAGGAACTGAGAGAGAAAACAAAGGAAATCAGTTGTTGCTACCAGCTAATTAAACAACACCTCTTAGGACACACAAAACCAATCCTGTTCTGAAAGGTAAATTTTATTAAAAACAAAAAAAAAGAAAATACATCTGGAATTTAGGCTATTGCTGGATTTAAAAAAGAGCAAATATAAGAATCATCGAAAAATGGATTTCTTGAGGTCCAGCTTAATGGTTACAAGCAAAACAAAAGCATTTGGGGGGTTAGCACAGAGGAATCCACAAGCCATAAAGAAATGAGAGAGAAATCTAATCGCATCTATCTAGACATTCCCTGATCTACTTACATATCTGGTTTCAGATGGGTATGATTTTTTCATACCTGGTTTAAAGCTTCTTAGGGTTAGAGAACAACCACAGACAGACAAAGGGAAAGTGTTTTGTCGTGTCCCCCTCCCATTGGCTCTCCTTTGGTCAGGTGCTCACTCCCTTCCTTTTACTATGGGCTTTTTTAACCCTTTACAAGTAAAGCAAGTAGAGAATAGCTACTAACAGGGATTTTGTAGCTGGCTGGCTGGGTGTCCATAAAAGGGAGCTGCCCACCCTTTCCTCCCCCCCCGCATTTATCACAGAGACTGTAAAGAGTTTTATACTTGTGGCAGAACTGGTGGTTTCATCCTTGATGTGATATGTGATTCTGTCTTGACAATTTTTACACCAGTTAAAGTAGTAATTGCATCCTTGGATGTATTACTTATTGTATGGCATTCAGTCTATTTTGTATTGCACCTGAATTATTATTATTATTTTTTGAAAATCACAAATATTTATTTTTAAATAGGACACCTTGATTGTTTGGTCAGAAGCAGAGAATTATGATTTAGCACTGAGTTTTCAAGAAAAAGCTGGCTGCGATGAAATTTGGGAAAAAATCTGCCAGGTACAGTTAATTTTTAAAATTATAATTTTCAAATTTTGATGTATCCTGTCTGCTTGTTTTGTGTGCCATACTTTATACTTAATTTTTAAAACGAAGTGTATTACTGCATGTTTATATTCTTAAGATTCAGCTGCCTGATACAGTAATTCTGAGTCTTTGCTGTTGACACTGATGCCTGTAGCTGCTCAGTGGCCCATTAGAGCCATCTTTTCAGTTCCAGCTAATTCCCAGAAGGCAGCTTCGGTTTGACAGAAAGGGGCGGGGGGGAAAGAATCTATAAAGACAGCACATATGAAATCTATACTTTCCACTTTCCAGTATCTCTCTTCAGTGATTGGGGCTGTTGTCTCTCTTCAGCTGCCATTTTAATTATACTTCCTAGAAGAGGTAAAGTTTGAAATTAAGACTGAAATAATCAACTTTCCCATTAGAAACATTTGAAGTCTGTTTCAAAGTTCAACAAAATAAATGGGCAAAAACTATAGAACTTACCTTCCATCATGGAAACTCTGATTTCCAGTACTATCTAATGTGGAAAGCTAACTCTTTCACTCCTAGTTTGCATATCAGATTGTCAAGCTGGAATCTTTGTTTAATTATCCATTATTATATCTGACATTTAACTGTTGTCTTCAGTGGTTTACTCTCCTTGCCATTAGATATGGCTTAAAATATCTTTTATATACCAAATTGTTTTGTTTTTACCCTGGAGTTTTCCTTAAATTTAGGAACCATTAATTACTCCTGGGGGAAATTCTGCACCAAGAATTTATACCAGGGAGGAGTATAAAAAATATTGCTCATGCATGCAGGAGTGAAATCAGGAAGGCCAAATAACACTTGGAGTTGCAGCTAGCAAGAGATGGTAAGAGTAATAAGAGAGGTTTCTTCAGGTATGTTAGCAACAAGAAGAAAGTTAAGGACAGTGTGGGCCCCTTACTGAATGAGGGAGGCAACCTACTGGCAGAGGATGTGGAAAAAGCTAATGTACTCAATGCTTTTTTTTTTTTTTTCCCCCTTCTGTCTTCACG